GGGTCAGGGGCCCCAGGGGGCGGGTCTTTTGTAGGGGTTCAGGCTCCCTGTTCGGCCTTGCTACTTGGAGGGCGGGAGCGGCGGCGGGGCGTGGGCCCGGTTCTCGTGTCCCCGTGGCGTGGGGGCTTTCGTTGGGTTTCCGGCTCCCTGGTCGGCCTGCGTGCATGGACGGCGGCGGCGGCGTTGGCGGTGGGCGAGACGGGTCTTGGGCTCCCTGGGGTGGGAGCGTTTGTTGGGGTTCAGGCTCCCTGGTAGGCCTTGCTGCTTGGAAAGTGGCGGAGGCGGCGGCGGCGGAGGGGGGTCCCGTGTCTCCGTTCCCCTGGGGTGTGGGCTTTTGTTAGATTTCATGCTCCCTGGTCGGCCTGCTTGCATGGACGGCGGCGGCAGCGTTTTGCGGGCCCAGCTCCCGGGTCCCCGAGGGGGGTCTTGTGTTGGGGTGACGGCTCCTTGGTAGGCCTGGCTGCTTGGATGGCGGCGGCCGCGGTCGTGGGCGGGCCCGGGTCAGGGGCCCCAGGGGGCGGGTCTTTTGTAGGGGTTCAGGCTCCCTGTTCCGCCTTGCTACTTGGAGGGCGGGAACGGCGGCGGGGCGTGCGCCCGGTTCTCGTGTCCCCGTGGCGGGGGGGCCTTCGTTGGGTTTCCGGCTCCCTGGTCGGCCTGCGTGCATGGACGGCGGCGGCGGCGTTGGCGGTGGGCGAGACGGGTCTTGGGCTCCCTGGGGTGGGAGCGTTTGTTGGGGTTCAGGCTCCCTGGTAGGCCTTGCTGCTTGGAAAGTGGCGGAGGCGGCGGCGGCGGAGGGGGGTCCCGTGTCTCCGTTCCCCTGGGGTGTGGGCTTTTGTTAGATTTCATGCTCCCTGGTCGGCCTGCTTGCATGGACGGCGGCGGCAGCGTTTTGCGGGCCCGGCTCCCGGGTCCCCGAGGGGGGTCTTGTGTTGGGGTGACGGCTCCTTGGTAGGCCTGGCTGCTTGGATGGCGGCGTGCGGTGAGCGCCGGGCGGCCCATGCCCCGGGTTCCCTGGTTGGGGGGCCTTTTTTAGGGGTTCAGTATCCGTGTTTGACCTGGCTGTTTGGATGGCGACGGCGGCGGCAGAGGGCGGTCCCGTTTCTCCGTTCCCCGGGGGGGTGGGCTTTTGTTTTATTTCATTCTCCCTGGTCGGCCTGGCTGCTTGGATGGTGGCGGCGGCCGCGGTTGGCGGTCCCGAGTCTCGGGTCCCCAGTTGGCGAGGTTTTGTTCGGGTTCAGGCTCCCTGATCGGCCTGGCAGATTGCACAGTGGTGTCGGTTTGGGGAACGGATATTGGTTCCCCAGGGGTTGGTGGCTTTTGTTGGGGTTCAGTCTCCCTGATCGGCCTGGATGCCTGGACGTAGGCCGCTGCAGCGGCGGCGGCGGCAGTGGGCGGGCCCGGATCACGGGTCCCATGGGGGGGTGGTTGTTGAGTTTCAGGTTCCCTGGTGGGCCTGGCCGTTTGTAGAAAAGGGTTTACTGGAATGATTTCTGAGGTCTCATGCAACTTAAAACAAAACAAAACAAAAATCTTCCATTTATCAGCATGATGGCCTAGGCAAGTTACAAAAGATAAAGGGACACATCATCCTTGTTTCTGAGTTGAGAATAGTATACCTCTTTCCCAAGATTATACTAAACATTAGAGTTTGCTTTTATAAAGTAATAGCATAGCCCCTAGTAGCTCTACTACATGTTGAAAATGATGCTAATGATGGTGCTGGTCACAGTGGTGATGACGATGGGTACAGAAATGTTGGGTATGGTGGTGGTAATGATGATGGTGGTGGTGGTGGTGATGATGGTGGCAATGATGATGATGATAATGGTGGTGGTGATGATGATGCTGATGATGATGATGATGGCGATGATAGTGGTGGTGATGATGATGGTGGTGATAGTGGTGATGATGATGGTGATGATGATGATGGTGATGATGATGGTGATGATGATGATGATGGTGATTGTGGTGGTGATGATGATGATGATGATGGTAGTGGTGATGATGATGATGATATTGATGATAGTGGTGATGATGGTGATGATGATGATGGTGATGGTGGTGGTGATGGTGGTGGTGATGATGATGATGGTGATGATGATGGTGTTGATGATGATGGTGATGGTGGTGGTGATGATGATGATGGTGATTGTAGTGCTGCTGATGATGATGATGGTGATGATGATGGTGATGATGATGATGGTGATGATGATGGTGATGATGATGATGGTGATGNGCCCGATTCTGGGATCTCCAGAGACGGGGACTTTTGTTGGGGTTCATGCAACCTGGTCGGCATGGCTGCTTGGACCATGATGGCGGCGGCGGCGACGACGTTGGGCGGGCACTGGTTTCTGGTCTCGGGGGCGGGGCTTTGGTTTCGGTAATGGCTCCCTGGTTGGCCTGGATGCTTGGACAACTGCGGCGGTGGGCGGTGTCTGGTGGACGCTGGGCTGTCCGGTGTCTCTAGTCCCCAGGAAGGGGGGTCTTTTGTTGCGATTCAGGCTCCCTGGTTGAAGTGGCTGGTTGGAAGGCGGNTGTTTGTTGTCGGCGGCGGTGGGCGGTGGGCGGTGGACGGTGGGCGTCCCGTGTCTCAGATGCCGGGGGGCGCCATTTTTTAGGTTTCAGGCTCCCTGATCGGCCTAGCTGCTTGGACGGCGGCGGCGGAGGCGGTGGGCGGAACCGGGTCTCGGTCCCCGGGGTGGTTCTTTTGTTGGGGTTCAGTCTCCCTGATCGGCGTGGCTGCTTGAATGGCGCAGGTGGTGGGCGGGCCGAGGCCTCGGGTCTCCTGGTGGGCGAGCTTTTGTTGGGCTTTCGGCGACCTGGTCGGCCTGGCTCCTTAGACTAGGATGGATGCGGCGGAGAAGGAGGGCGGGCCCGTTTCTCGGATCCGCAGGGGGGGTCTTTTGTTGGGGTTCAGGCTCCCT